CTGTTAATGACAACAGTGTGATATTTACCTGACTTTCTTGTTTTGATCATGTTTTCTTTTGGTTGTGTGTGTCTTCTGTTGATTTTCAACTGGCTGAGTACAACAGCAACTTACTGTGTTTTGTTTGCTGCTATGAATTTCAGTGGAGTTTCAGCTGATAATGACTGAAACGTTCAGGGATAACTAACCCATTTAGAATTGCACTTCCATGAAATTCAGTAGTGTGTTTCTTGGTCCTGACTGCCAAAATTAAAAATCTAATGAAACCGTGTTTCATTTATTCACATATTCATTATGTTTCATTTCTGTCACATGCAAATAACTGGTACAAATGGTTGGCTGCAATTCAAACAATGTCAGTACTAGCCTTCAAAAACATCTTCAAAGAACATGTGTGACTGCTGCAGAAACGGTTCCTCACAGGATGTGACAGGAAAATAGTCCTTAGACCTTGATGTGCACTTATAGTGTCTCACACACACACACACACACACACACACACACACACAATCATACACAAACGCACATATACACACAATTTAAGACCATTCCTGAGGCCTTGAAGTCAGCTAGTAAGTAAGTTGTAATTGATAACACTGTTAATATTCTGGTTGGTACTCCAATAGGATAATGCCTACATGTGTACTCTCTCTCTCCCTCTCACTCACACACACACACACACACACACACACACACACACACACACACACACACACACACACACACACACACACACACACACACACACACACACACACACACACAAAACTGCACACCTGTGTAGAGGTCTGCCCTGATACTGCAGTTCCTGTCCTGCGGCGAGCTTCTGGCACCCCAGGGTGCCATGAGGAAAGCAACACATCTCCTCGCCTGCAGATCATAGTGGGAGACATACACTAAGGAAAACTCCTCTGACTGGTGAGCCAGCAAAGCAGAGAGAAATATGGACAGAGAAAAACTAGACTGGACACTTAGAGGGAGGGGCAGCCTGAAGAGAAAAGTAGAAAATGCTCCAAGTGCATTTGTGCTGGGAGCATCCTGAATGTACACATCAGTGTTTTCTATCTGTATGATCTGGCATAATGTCTAAGTAATTGTTTGTTACACTTCACATGATTCCATAAAACAGTTTTTCAAAGCTGTAAATGAGCCTCACATCTATTTCATATCAGATCGAGGAGAAAATCGCAGTCTTATATAAACACCTGCTTTAAAGCCCAGATGGCTGCTCTGTTCAGCCCTTTTCCCACAGCAGACAAAAGTCTTTATGTGTGCACATCCATCTGCTAACATCTGTTTAGTTGCATGAAAGGATCTACAGTAAGCCTTCATTGATGTAAGTAAGAGTACATTAACAGTACTGTGTGTTCATGGTATTGTTACTCTAACTTGCCTGCAAAGAGGACTGTGAATACTAAACAAGCACATGACTGTGATCGAGTCTGTTGGCGCCGTTGCCAAGAACATTTTCTACGGCAGATAAAATCCACAAAGGGCTCCTCATCGAAGCCCAGTCCATCTGCAAGAGGACGTGTTTTAGATGCATGGGATCTATCTATCCATCCATCTATCAGGGACACTTAGAGTGAAATCATCACAGGGGGTGAGGGTAAAGTAAGAATAGATCTATTGATCTCTCCTTAGCTCTAATACTCCAAACACTTGCCCTCGCATAGTCACTTCAGAACTACTACAATAAAATAAAGCCTCAGAGTTAAACTTTTACAGCTGCTGTGATCATTGTATGCTGTTATGGAGAACAGGGTAACAATTCCTTGAAATGTACATTGCTGACACATAAACTAACCAAAAGAAACCATTTGTAAACAGCAGTGAGTGAGCAAACACTCGATCCAGAGTCAACAGTGAATTTATGAACCTCCATCCCCCATAACACAATAACCTGAGGAAATGCGTCTGTATTTGTGAGGATAAATGGGAGTGAAAACAATCAAATTGTTCATAGGCTCCCATGAAAGACTTGCACGAGGCAGGTTGGTACACAGGCTCAGTAAGACCCTCAGCAGATGTTGGTTTGGTCATGTGGTAATGTGCCTTTGCTTGCCACACAAATTCCTGTTTGGGAACAAGTTATGAATCGTATTATGGAAGCAGGTGGTTGTGGGATAAAAAGCAGTGGTAGTGAGCAGGTATGGTCTTAACAAACAGGCCTGCTCAAACACAACTGTACTTATAACTAAAACACAGAGGATTCATTCAGCTTACTAAATGCTTATTTAAAGGAGCAGATCAACTGCTTTATAATTCATAGTTTAATCTACAATTAATTAGTTATGCAACATGATCATGTCATGAGCCTCATTCATCAGTACTGTGATTATGACAGGAATTGGGTGGTGTTGTTTCACAGCATAACTGTTAGTTCTCAAAACAATAATACAATGTAGCTGGGAATTGGGAGTTGTAGTCATATATTAAAGGTATGCAGAGAACTAGAGCCTGTGCAAGTTTAAAAAATATTTTAGCTGCTTGATCTCAGACAGTGAAAGAGTCAAACAATGCTTCAGACAAACACCAAGATTAAAGCAAGCAACTGATAAAAGAAAAAAGGACCGGAAGTCAAATAAGAGCTACAGGGAACCACCAGGGCAAAGGAAAGCCAGCAGTCTTTATTGATCCGTCCAGCTGGGAAGGGAGGCGTCTCCAGTTATCTATGGATCACAAGACTGAGGTGTTTTTTTGGGGATTTTAACAATACTTGGGGTCAATGTGCCTTATCCAGTCAAAAATGTCCCTCTAAGACACTGCAAGGTGCTGGAGAAACATTCATTACAGTGGTTTACTGACATAGCGAGCCTTTGCCTGAGATAATATAAAGTTTTGTGGACTGTTGCTATTTGCACTTTTGGGAAAAAAATAGGTATTTTGTTTTGCATTGCCGAATTATACTCAGTAATACAAGCTGAAGGCAAGTGCATCCGTAGCTGTACCACCTACATATTATTTCCAACTGCACTAATGGCACTTAAAACATGGCAAAGAAAAAAGATGTAATATGAAGCCACAGCCTTCAATATACAATAATATCACATAGAAAGCAAAAAAAAAAACACCTCATCTAAGACAGCAGATCAAGACTTTCTGACTCTTTACTTTGGTATAATGCTCACCAAGGTAGAGGAATAGGAAAAAAATAATGAAAATAAAAAATGTTTTACTTTTCAAGTGGGTTTTGAGCTACTTTCATAATCTCTCTAGGATCTTAATCTCCGAGGGAGCATGTGCAGTAAATCCTGAGAGGAAGTTACTGTAAAATATGAAATTCAGCTCAGTGGAAGATATATGGTTTTCATATGACAGCAGCAGTTTACTGATATCATGGATTTGTTATCTGGACTAGAATGTAGATCTGTTTGAGTAATTGCAGCCTATTGCACTTACACTGTGGATAAGAGCATCAGCTAAATACATAATGTTCAACTGTCTCTTAGCAAACTAAATATCACAGCCAAACTCATTTTCAGCCATGTTAACTTCCTGAGGAAATCTTATCTAAGAGAGATATTTTTGTCTGTGGAGGAGGCCTCCGGGCTACATAGCCTCATTATTTAGTTTGGCTTCCTGACTACATTTCCCCTCTTATCCTCAACAGCACTATGGTGGATCCTGGCCTCGAACAGGAGCATAAAAACATCCGCCCATTTAAACAAACTGTTAACACATAGATGGGCTATCTCACTGAGACAGACTCTGAGTCTGTGGGCTCAGCAGTGTGCTTGAAGCTGGGCATATTGGCAGTCCTCTATCTGCATAAACAAACAAAAAGCCACTTCTGCAGTCATGAAGGAAAACAAAGATAGAATGGCAGGGTAAACCCACCTGAAGGCGGCATACCAACAATCTGTTCATGAAACACAAACACTTTTGGGGTAGCGGGCTCATCGGCATTCACAAGTCACGTACAGTACATTTGTAAATAGACAAGTACAAGCTTTCTACTTGGTATCAGCATGAGACTGCATGATCACAGTTGGCTGGTAGTCTATAGAGGCAGTCAGCAGAATTATGGGAAAAACACTGGCTTTCACTTTTAACACCTAGTAAGGAAAGGTTTCTTGCTGAGAATAAATGAATGAATAAATAAATACATAAATAGAGTAGCTACCACAACTACTGGCACCAACCACAGTAAGGTCAAACCATTAAAAAGCCACTGCATACAGTTACTTTTAACAGCAGAGAGAGAGAGAGGAAGCTAGTGTCCAGAGTTACCATCAACCACGATGTGAGAAACATCATTACTGACTACAAAATACCCTGTTGACAAAATCTCAGACAAATAAAGATTCTACAGTCCCTCTGTGCTCTTGTGGCAATGACCAGGACTTCCATAAAAGACAATGGGAGCTCTGTCAAAAGCTTCTGTTTGACAAACAAAGAAAGCCAAGTAAATGTTACAAAACATGTCATATACCATTTTCAAAATGACTGTGGCAATAAAAAGTCAATTTTAGACAGCTCTAAATGGGCCAAAACTCCACATGACAGCCTTTAGCAGATGGATTTGAAGAAAATGATTTTCTCCAGTGCTGAGCACTGAGCTGTGGTTTGATGGTGGAGAGATAGAGGGGACTCAAGTGTCTCACGTGAAGTGAAGCTATTTCTTCAGCACTGTGGTACAAAGTCCCCGCTGACACAAGAATAAGTAAAATCACACTCAACAAGGGTGTTAGACTCTGTTCATGCAATTCAACTCTTTTTTCTGCTTTACAGTGAATGTGGAGCAGACGACAGAGGGATGGAGAGTGTATTCTTGGGAAGAAGAATTGTGTAAATAATAAGTCAAAGCACAACAAAGGACACGGATTCAGATGCCACCTAAGCATCCTCTACCTTCATGGCCAAAGCCGACATCTCTTTCATTTGTCAAAAACACGAACCAATGGTCCATGCAACATACATGTGACCTTTGTTGACCTACTTTCCAATAAGATTGCATTACTGTAAATTAAAACAAAGGCAGAGAAGTGGGCACTAACCATTTTGTTCTTCTTGGAGTAAGTCTTTTTCAGCAGCCTCTCGTTCATCCTCTCCTGCTCCCGCTGGGCGTGATGAAGGAAGCCGTTCTCCAGGGGATCCACCACAGGCTGGACATTCTCCTCTTCTTCCTCCACCTCCTCGTCTTCCTTCTTCTGCCGCTTTGCCACCTTTTTCTCCTTCCACCGCTCCTTCTTCTCCTGTGTCTTCACAACTCCGGTCTTCTTCTGCAGGTAGAGGTAGCAAATAGAGAGCTTATTAGAAATCTAGACCTTACAGATTTAAAAGTGTGTGGATGGATAGATACACCCAAAGGATACATACAGTGAAGTGGTCGATATATACACACATACATAAACAAACACTGCTACTGTAGTCCTCGATGATAAGCGTCTTGTTAATTTAAGTCACTAGTGAAAGAAGCAGAATGATAAAAATTTACAAGGCAGTGTCAGTGGATGCTGTATGAGTGCTTGCCTTTTTTTTACAAAGCCCATTACAAAGCCCATAGGAATTCAGCACTTGTAGTGCAGTGACAGAGCTACTAATCAATGCCACACTGACAAGAAAGATTTACTGCTTTTAGTGTCTCAAGGATTTTCTTTAAGACCTTGAAACAATTGTACACCAGGTGATGACAAGTCTATGAAATACGACACTTAAAGCCGCCTTTGAACAAGAACAAAGCAGACAGATATCTAGATGGATAGACAGACTGGCAGGAGATGAATGTGTAAAAGAATGGAGTGAGGGTGTGCCGCAGCTGGCAGACAGTCAAGCGCGCAGCCCCTTTCACTGCTGGGTTATACAAAGCAAGCAAACACTCGAGCAAAGAGCAGCGACGCTCACTCGCTCTCTCTAAAAATCTTTAATCCTGTCAACAGCAGAACAATGCCTTACTGGAGCCCATAATCACTTTATGGCTCAGATATAATGAGCTTATGATGTGAAGTGCTGCTTTAACACACACTGGAGAAAATACAGTCGCTCTACACTTACACTATGACCAAGCAATTTCCCCCTTAAACTAATCATTCCTTTCACGCTTAGGTTACGGCCTATACGGAATTGGTGTTTGTTTATGTGAAACCAAACACCATTTGCAACTGCCTGGTATCTTACTCAGTGGTTTTCCTTCACCCCCTCTCCCAGCTCACCCCATGACGAGAATTGCACAGGAAGACATAAATGGCACCATGCTGTGTATGGTCTATTATGACTTGTGATTGGGGTTTGCTTCATTTTAGCTTTAAGTGACTGGTTTCAGACTCGTAAATGCAATTCTACATCCCAGTTATAATAATAATTCAAAACCTTGCGTTGATATAGCCGACACCATGTGCCTGAAAAAGCTAATAAACACTGATACCTAACATCAGCCAAAGTTTGTCGTTTAAGGTAGAAAAGTGCTTTATAAATGCACTTTACCATTTTATTGAGCTATTCTGCCCATTTATGGTGCTTATTAAACCCTCAGACAAACTCTTAAATTATTAATTCAGTGTTCAAATTACAGCCATTGTTTTTCTATGCGGCGAGTGAAGATGCTCAATCTAGCTGGCTACTGCGCTCCAACCTCAATCAGTTTCAATGCGCAGCCAATGAATGTAACACACAGTCTGTGCATCAGAACACTATTACTTTAACATAATTTCACTACTCTGGCAAGAAATTTATAGCATGGCTGAAAGTCAGTGAGACCAGCTATGTGACATTTGATTTACTTCAGGTTTAACACTGAGGTTCTCTTGCTATTCTTCTGGTTAGTGTTTTGTTAGTACAATAAGACTGGCAGCCACCATCTTGAGTTATCCATTGACGTGAAAACTTGACAGAGGTCAAATTGAGCTCTAGATGCACTGGCAGTTTGGGCAAAGTTAAGCCCAACATGATATGATGAAGAAGTACATACACGCTGACACAGAGGCACATCTGCCAGCCTGTGGAAACCACTGCTGCCTGCCTGTTTGTGTGTCAAGTGATTGAATCGTATCCTCCTCCTGGGCTTCTGCTGCCTCTTATTTCCAGATCTCATCAGGCCTGAGTGGAGCTTGTGACACACTGCTGCCTAGTAAAGCCTGTCGGCGGATATCACTGTGTGTCTGAACGGCAGAGGACGACGTGCCGCTGCTTGAAGCTGCATGGAGTTCAAGGCTGAGGGCTGCTAGTTCACGTTACAACATCTGTTCACAGCCAGCAGCGCTCGGCCTGACCGCAGTTAGCTCAGCACTCCGTATGAATAATCAAATTATTGGCTCCGAGGGTGGGAGGTTAGCAGATGTCTAACGCGTTAACCCCATAACTGCTAATGAATGACAACTTCTGTGACAAAAGGTGTCCAACTGTCGAGCACTGCAAAAAACTTGCCATGAAAAGGAACAAGGTTTCCATGACAGAAGCAGAAATATAACTAAAAATTAATTGTAGAGGGAGGGAGAGGGCAAAGATCCTAAAACCACCCACACAAACACCTTCATTATGATGTTCTAGTCCAGGAGTCTTGGCATAAATTATTTGGTGCTACAGTGAACATGTTTGTGGCTGAACTGTTTTTTTTTTTTTTTTCTTACTTGCTGGTACAATTCCCAGCGTCCCAGGAGAAGCTGTTTGGAAACACATGAAGTGTTTCAGTGTATGAGATTTTCTTCTCACCACTTAGAGGAAAAAATTACCTTAACACTTTTTAAGACTGGGTACGACACTCACTGACTGTGGGAAGATTGATTGTTTTCATTGTGAGAGTTAAAACAGTTACTTTCTGTGCCATAGTGCACTTAACACGATAGAGTAGCAGAATATAGATGTACTACACTATATGTAAGTGGCCTCATTTAAAGAATAAAACATTAAGACCTTGAAGAGTTGGATCTAAGACCTACAATGCTTTGCATAATAGTATTAAAGACAATTTATGGTCACTGTATTGAGGTCAGAGTAGCGACAATGTTGTTGTCCATAATGTCAGCAGTGAATGTATCAGTCTATCATTATTTCACCATTTACACCAGCACGAAAGAATGCTAAATCAACACCGCTGACAGGTTGACACCTCTTTGACAGAGGGATTTAATGTCATGACACTGACATCACACGGCTCAGAGCAGCTCTTCTCACCTCACAGAGCAACAGATTCATTTGTCACAAGGTACCAGATGGTATTAACAGAACCATCTTTAAAGAGCTGTTACAAACACAAAGCAGCTACAGTCTGTTAACAGGGGACGCAGAAAACACAATCAGGTGTTTTCCTCCTTATAGGCAATGCTGAGGCTCCAGTAAGACTGTGCATCAATAATCATTAAGTCAGGCGTATGGATTACAATTTGCAATTTCCCTTACTTTCTCCTTTCTTATTGACAGAAATGTGCCATTGTGAACAACCCAGCGGTAAGTGGTGGGATCAATTAAGTATCAACTTGCATCAATGTGGAGTCTTATTAGCATTCTGGAGGGCGTCCCTGTGGTTATGATCTCTCTCATTCAGCCAAGGTGGAAAAAAAAAACAGACACACAAGTACCACAAAGATTATTGGACAGTTTGACACACTCATCTTTAATTGTACTTACTGTAGCTAATGCAAGCTAATGTCTTTGCATGCAGCAATCAAAGAAGATAAGCATTATCTAAAGTAAAGATGACACTTATGGTAACCCAAAATTTGAAATAGTTTTCCATGTATGGTCTGTGAATCAAAATCTCATGAAAACAGAATTTTAATCCTCGTCTGCCATTGTCACACATGTATTTCTAATGCCAGTTCACAGAGCTACACTTGGTATGCAGACAAGATAGATCCACCCAACACTGACAGTTCATTCTGGTGCCAAACCTCAAAATGAGTAATTACACCAGTATGCTGTTGTAGTTTTTCACTCTTCAAATCAATGGCAATGCCAGACTCTTAAAGGGTCAGGGGAAATTCTCTAAAGGGGCAGTTTTGCTGTGTCTTTGTGGTTTTGCTCGCCGAGACATGGAATAACTGCAGTATCTTGGTTTTGCAATTGGCTTGAAACCTGTTTTGCTTATGAAATGTGGCATCTCTGGGTCATCTCAGTATCTCAGCTGGCCAAGTCCAACACCCAGTCAAGCAAGTACAACAAACTCAAATCCATTTAAATCATGTGACCTTTCACTTGTGTCACCACTCTCCCATCCTCTCTAAAACTTTCAACTGTATAATAGCACAAGCACAGCAGTTGGGACCACGAGAAGGCCTGGGGGTAAGTGTATAAAGATCAGCTGTGCAAAGCTCACATGTGTGACTTACAGTGCGTACAGTGCTGTGATGGAGCCTCCAGGGTGGCATGGGGAGGAGCTGCCACTCACCCATTTTTTGAGCCTTGCAAAGTCCTCAAACAACCAAGAGCCCCTGATACTCAACACCTGTCCCTGTGTGCCACACATTACTCTCTGTCAAGCTCAATTCAACAGCAGCATGGCGTTTCTTTCCAGCTACAGTGTTACACTGTTTGAACTTGAAATTTGAATGTGTATGTGTGCTAAGGCACTTACATGGCATTACCTCTAAAAAGCTTTGATATGGGCTAACTGAGGTTATGGGCCTTGTTGAACACCTTTTACTCCCCTCTCGTGTTTTAGTGAATTAAATTGTTCACTGAACAATTTATTTAGTGTCCTCAGATGTTTTTTTAAGTAGAAAAATAACAGCTAGTGACCTTATTTCAGGACAATATCTGAACTGAGAAAATAACATGTGACGCTATCCCTGCAGTACCTCTCTTTGCTGTCCTTCTGTGACTCGTGTATAATTTTCAAGCAAAAAGACTGGTTACACATGCAGTTCATACCAGTTCAACATTGACTACTGAGAGTAGAGAAAAAAACGTGCATCTCGGGATGAAAATGTGTCAATCTAGTTTTGTATGTGCCAGGTATGTACATCTGAGCTTGAGCAATTCGACTTTATTTGGACCATTTGCACCTGCACTCATTGCTGTCTCATGTCTGCTGTGCTCTATGAGTAATAAACAGATTTTAATTGTCTATCTGTGTCATTTCCATTTATTCACAATCCACGATTACGACAATAGATCTATAATAGCTCCAGGAGAAGAAGTGTAATCCATCACTGTGTGTCTGCCAGCGACGGCTTAGTTGTAATATAATTTCCATATGCCAAAGGCCTGACGTGGGGTTTTTCTTTTCTACACATAATGGAGCAGCCTTAGCACACTCTGTATTATTAAAAACTCATTTACAAATGAA